TCTTCGTCTGAGTGACATCAAAGAAAAATTTCTTGAATTTGTTGAAACTGATCGTGCACTTAGCATCCAATTGTCAAGTTCTGATCCCCATTTTTGGAGCTTTAGTGTAAAATGCAAGAAAGACATAGAGCTTACTGAGAACTCTGTTATCCAAGATAAACAAGAAATTCGGGTTACATTTTCACCCCATTTACAGGTAATTATTTTAGAATTATTTAGGTTGAAGTTGTAAGTGTAATGCTCTCTATCCCTTCTCTTTGTAGGATGGAAACAGTGATGATGAAGACTATGCCAACGAAGAGACGATAGTGTAGGTGTATCTTTTGTCTGTTTTACTAATTCAGCTACATTTTATCAAAGCCTCTGTTGTTTTTTTTTATAGGAGTGACGATGATCTTAAAATATTTGGTATTAGTAGAGAAGAGTGGAACGCATTCCCCAAAATTATGAGGGACCGTGAAATCATATGCTATGAGAAACACAAACTCATGCTTTCCATGGGTAAGACGGTGCATCTTTAATTAACTATGTTACATTTTGTTTCTGACCACTAATCTTATATTCTTAAAAGGATATGTAAAAACGCAGTATGTGAGCATGATCGCTCTATCAAAACCTCCTGCCGTGGTAGTATCTACTACAACGCGCAGTAAAAAAAGTTTGCCATTCAAGCAAAGGCAAGTGAGCCATACTGATGTTACCCGAAGGGTTTTGCCAACTCGTGCAGCAAAAAGTATTTCAAATAAAGCAAGTGTCTGCAATTATAATTCCTACTTAATGTTAAATTACATAATTCACAAAAAAATTAAGATGAATATAAAACCTGGAACATTTTTTAATTAGGAAAACATCAGACCTGACATTGTGACAACTCTTGATGAGGAAGCAGAAGATGATGTGTTTGAAGCTATTGAAGAAACTGATTCGGATTTGGCTGGTACATCTTCAGGAGTTGTGTCTCTGAAACCTCCTCTTCTGATTACCCGTCAGCCAGTTAAACAGGTAAATTCATGCATGCTTTTGCTGGAGTTGACTCATTAGAAAAAAAAAAGTTTTCTGCAAAGATATTTTTAATTTGATCATATAGACTAACTTACTGGTGCACAAGAGTTTTAAATTTTTATCATTGAGCTAAATAGCATGGAAAACTTGCAATTTACTGCAAGCTTCTAAAAACAATGAAAGCTAATCAAATTAATATTTTTTATTTTTTGCCCTACTAAATTTAGATGGGAAAGAGAAAACTCTTAGGCAAGATAACAAAAAGGACTGCTCTTCCAAATTTCTCAGCTGGGTTAGTTTTACTTCTTAAAAAGAAAAGGTTGAACAAGACTGAAAAAGTAGCTTTAGTAACAGAAGTGGAAGCACACCTTATCAGTGTAACAGGAGACAGTTACTTGGACCCAGACGAATGGACTATTGTAAGTGATAAAATTGTGGAGAAGTATCCCAAACAATCAGATGTGGATAATGAAAAGCAATCAGTAAGTGTAAAATCGTAGTGAACTGATTCATTGTTAACCTCTACTATTCCATTAATTTTTCCGCATTTGTGTTTCTTTTGTAGAATGAACTCAAGCACTCACTGCAGACAAGCATTGTTTCAAGAAGATACCGTAGGCAAAAGAAGGGACGTAAAAACGGCCAGACAGTGGAAGGGGCAGAGACTGATCAGTCATCTAGCAGTATTGAAAATAATGAGACTACTCTCATTGATGAACTGAAGTCTAAAAACCCCTTTGAGCGTGATTCCTTTCTCCGACTATCTTTCTTAATAAAAAGTACTCTTACCCAACGAGCAGTGGATCACAATGTAGAAAACATGGAGAATGTAGTAACTGAGTTCCCTCACTACAAAAATTTAAATTTGGTGAGAAATCTACCAATTATTAGCTTTTTCATTTATTCTTTCTTTCAAATCCTTACTAGCATTTCCTTAAACCAGGTTATTTATGAGCATTCTTTGGTACAAGAAATTACTTTAGAAGCATTGAAAAATAATGCAGAAGGGCTACTTTTGAGGCTCAAACAGCACTTCTCTATAACTGGAAATATGGTTGATCAAGAAGTTGAAGCAATAATCCAGCTTCAGGATCAGCTAATCCCGCGAAAATATGTAGAAAATCAGAAAATTCTTCCTGCTATAAGTGCTTGGGATGTAAGTAGACTTCTGTTGCTTCAGCAATGTATATCTTCAGTGAGTGATAAAAAATTTATTTTGCACTATATTTGCAGGAAAGTGAAAAAGAGAAGGACTTAACATTATTGGGAACAACTGCAACCAGACATGCTCCTTGGGCTTCAATAATACTAGGAAATAATTCAGATGGAGATCGAACCATTAAAAGATATATCATCCAAATGCTCACCAATGGCTTTAGGTCAGAAATAACAAACCCTACTGTGCCAGAAGTTTTAATTGGACTTTTAAGTTTTTACTTTATTTTTGACATTGGGTATCCTGATGCATACGTTAGTTTGTTAAGATTTCTCGAGAAATATGTACATGGTAAACTGTCCTGGAGTTCTCGAAAACAAAGAGGTAAACAAGAGTACAAAGATTTTGTTACAGTATTTGAGCAAACGTAGCTCAGCCTGGATCAAGTTTCCATACATTTTAGAGCCAAGTTAAGAGTATTTCAAATGAGCTATACTTAAATTTTCTTATTTCAATGAAAATCTGTGATTAAAAGTCTTATTTATAACTGTTAAGAATAGTAAACAAAGACATTTAAGTTTTATTTATCATATTTCT